AAAACCTACTTCCTTCTATAATTTAACCTAAGTCAGTGAATGGAAAAGCTTTAGCGAATCTCCTTATCATCTTTGATTTCCTATTTGATCTGATATATTCGAGTTTCTTATCTCTTAAATGACGTTAAATGAAGTGATATAATCCTTAATCCAGATTTTCCTTCCCGACCTTTGTACTTCCTATTTCTAATCGACAATTCCATTCGGTATATATTCCACCTTACTCTATTAAATAGTTACTTCTGTCCTGTAAAATCCTTTTAAATTGCTCAGTCTCTTATTCCTTGCTATTATGGGTTTGATCTTTTTACTAAGGCTAATTCTCTTTAAAGACGATGCTGACTACAAAGTAGAAGCAGTGTATGCTAAAGAACCCATGCGACGGTCCGATCTTGGAAGAAGGCAAGGCTGCAGGTGGCTTTGGTCACTGGAAAACTTACCTAAATCACATCTAAGTCGCAAACTTTATTTAGTAAAAGTAAATTGCGATTAAATAAAAAGCACAAGGTTCCCTGCCCTCATACTCATTTAATAGGATCTGATTCTAAAATACCTTCATGCTGACAATTCCTTAAATATTCGCACCATAAATCATTGGACAAATTCCGGTTACGAAGCCATTCCTAATCTTATGAATGGAAATATGAAAGTTTGTGTATTTGTTCTTCAGTGGTGCTTGTTAGAGAATCGAATGGACATAGTTTTCAGAAAACATTAGTTAGCTAGAATTGAGTGGGGCGAGTAGGACTAACAGGAAATATAAATAGTATTTCCATTTATTTAACTAAGCTTTCTATTGGGCAATAACAAAATGCACATACCTGTACATGTCTTATGCTTCTCATAAAGATCAGATGAGACGATTCACAAAATACCCGACAAATGGTATCTAGTCACTGACCTATAACCAGAAAGTTACTTAAACAGGCGCAATTCCCCTTCCGCTCTAGCCGTTGGCTATTCCGTGTACACACTTCACCAATTCTTTTACATCGGACCTCTCTACACACTATATTATTGACATCCAAGCCTCAGCTACTAAGACAAATTTCCCTACAGAGAGCTTTATGAGCAGAACATTATTAAGCTTTTAATGCAGACCATAAAGTAAGCAATCTGATGAGAACATTTCACCTGATGAAGTAAATGGGAAATTTAATGGTAATTTCGAAACAAAAATAAAATTAAGAAGACTGGCAGAAATATTTATGAACGGTGCATAAATAATAATTATAAAAATACAATTATCACGATGGAGCTTAGAGATGAGCAAGTCGGAATATAGACATGTGGGTCACTCTGCTATACTATTGCTTATACTCTTACTTATCATTTGCTCACCCATTTGTTCAGGAACCCGAATAGGGAAATCATATACCGGTATGAAATCGCCTTATGAGTGCTAAGGAAAGTATGAGGTGGCTTTTAATTCAAAGTGAACTGGCAATATAACATATGATCACAAAATATCGGTTTTTAATGTAAGATGTGGTAATTTGGAGCGATGAAGACAAATATGCCAGTAGTTGGTTAAATAATGAAGAATGAGTTGGATTGTGGAATGAGAGCATTATAATATGGTTTGTGCAATAGTCCATCCATTTACAAGAAAAAGTCTCGATGAACCTAAGGTAGATTGAATGATAAACGACAAGTAATGAAAAAATTGGCAGTGGTAGATGCAAAATTGGCTGGGCCCCAACTTTTTTAACAACTCAATGACCTATTAAACATATGGTTTGAGTTGTTTAATTATGGAAGTGTTCAGTTAATATATCCATCAGTAAGGAATTGCATCTGAAAGGGTATTCTGATTTAAGCCCGGTTGACAAAATGAAGGGCTCTAATGTAGCATTATTCTAGACACATTAACCTCACAACAAAATATTCAGAGGTGACAATGAGGTAGATGAGCCAGTTTTGAACAAATATATACACCTCGCACTATGATGTAGAGCTTATTAAGTAAGCATATGGAGAAGAAAATAGAAAAGCACCGAAGTGGGAAATGTAGGGAATCCCAGAAACTACTGGCACACGAGTGCTTATGCAAATTTTCAAAGGAAAACCAAGAAAGAAAAAGAAGTTTCAGCTGAAGCTTATATAGAGAGAAAGAAAGTAGAAAAAGCCCAAGTATTCTAAATACTATCTCCAGAATTCGGCTGGTTTAATACATCAGATACCATAATAGCTTATGGGCATAAGCATAAAAAAATAATTCGAGCCATGCAATTAGGATTCGAAAAAAATTTGAATGGTAAGAAAAATTGAAGTAAGTGAATTCAAAAGAGCTGATATCTGAATTTAAATTTATCCCACCTACCACTCTCACTTAAATGTTAAAACTGTTCAGTTTGAGTTTTTTGGTGCTTGATTGCTTCACAGACAAAAGAAGGCCTTTACTGCGCACCGCACTGCAATAATAATGAAAAAATAATAAAGTTAAGGGATATTTATTGTACATTGACTCGAGTTGAAGGGAATCAAAGCGATGCATGATTTAGATCGGAGGAGGAAATATACGATCAAGCAAAATCGGTGTGTAAGGAAGTTGGCCATGAGTTCCATGACAGTGCCACCAGCCGAAGGGGATGAAAGGGCAGACATACAATGAAAATGGCAGAAGGAACCCTGGTGAAGCAAAGCATACTAGGAGCAATAGAAAAGTAAAAAGAGAGAACAATAAAAGGCAAAAACCAAGACAGTTGTAGCAATGACGTCGAGTGGAAGCACGCCGGAAGGTGGTCAGCGGAAAGACCCGAGTTGAAGTGGACTGATTGGCAGAGATATGAAGCGAAGCCACAGAAGGACTGCGAGAACTTGGAATAGAATCTACAACTGAATGCGAGGTGCTTGGAGAATCAACTGAGTTGGCTGAAGCCTTTAAAACGGATTCCTTCCGGATCCAGGAAGCAGAAGTAATGCTGTTCTTCGGATCAGAACTGCCTTTTAATATATGTGTGGCAATCGTGGGTCTGGGATAAAATAGGCAGCTCGAAGAAGACGATAAAGTCAAGGGACAATTTGAAGTGGACGGAGTATGGGTGGGCATGGGTATGGGCATCTCAAGAACAGTGGATGAGGCGACAGTAGTGAAGTCGAGGAGGGAAAGGCTAGAGGCAATAGGGCATATGGGCATGTCAGTAATGGCGGAGATTTCATTATTGGCAGTTTGAGTTGTGGTTAATATGCAGGAAACCGAAGGATTGTGCATTTCGATGGTATTTGAGAGAACGGAATCTAAAGGAATGCCATTCTGCACATTAGTAAATGTATCGCCAGTTGAAAAAGAGTTCAAAGAGGTAGCAGGATAAATCGGAATGCAAATTTGGGAAAGGATAGCATCAGTGTCAAATTCCTTCTTGCGTAGGGAAGCATTTATGGGAGGTTCCAAGAAAGGATCAAAAGTATTGGGGTGAGTTTGACTATCTAAGATGAAAAAAGAAGCTTGTCGATCTGTTTCGAAGAGTTGATAAGCAGAGGAAGAGTTAGGAGAAACAGAACGCGTAAGTTGGGTAGCGAAATGAAGAGGATCAATATATAGTTTCATTAAAGAATTTGGCTCAATCAATTCCAAAGGCAAGATAGACAA